GATGATTCTGCTGACGCGAAGTTCTCATATGGTTGCGGGGAGCGGGACGGCGCGGGCGGGGGCGCCGTGTACGCAAGGCTGAGGTGGCGGGCTGGTGCCCCCACTTCCCCCACCTCGCGACGCGACCCTCTCGCCCCCCCGTCCTGTCGCACGTGTGGACACACGTGTCCGTCAGCGGCTGACCCGACGCGACCCCCAAGGGCTGCCGAAAGATTTACATGAACTGGCGTACTCTACAATGCCATCTATGTGGAACTCTATGCGTTACTCTATGAGGTACTCCATGAGGCACTCTATGAGGTACACTACGGGATACTCTTTGATGAGCTCTAAGAGACACTGTGGGATAATATGCAAGGTATTTCCGAGGGTATTTCTTTGCATGCAGTCCAGTGTTGCGGGTTCGCCTACTTTCTTCGCCCGTAAGGCGCTACGGCCTCTGCGACTCGAGCGAGTATTCAATGCCACAACTAACACTGGGGCGCATGCAAAGAAACACCTGGTGCATAATGCAAGGATGCAGGTGCTTTCGTTGGGCCTGGCTATACTTGAACGGCGTAAACCGTCGTCGACCAACCATGGACCGACAGCGCTGTGCTCTGAGAAATACACGCCCTGCCCCTTCCCGCATGGTGATGCTGTACCGCACGCACGCGTGCGGGCGGGTTGCCTAACCGCTCAAGCCGTTAGGCGCCAAGTGTTCATGGGATGTCCCCACCCGCACGGCGCACGCGTGCGTGTGGTACAGTCTGGGCATACAGTCTGCGAATGTGGGCGGGGTAATAAACCATCCACCTGATATTTAACCACCTTCAACCACCAACCGCCAGGGGTTGCAAAGTGTGAGGGTATGTTTGCATCGATGACACGTGTAACCGCACCGATGGCCCGCTGCTCTAAAAACTGACTGTAGTCACTGGCAGAAGGGAACACGAACTCGGAGAGCGCTTTGTGTTCTGCTGCCACCTGCATTACGACGTCGTAAAACTACCGTCGTACTCTTTTCTGTCAATTCTAGTTTGTTTTTTTTTGTTTTTTTTTACCTGCCCGCAGTTTAGACGTAAATAGCAAGTGACACAGTGACACGAGGCAGTCTGTTCGATCGAGATCGGTCTGTCGGCATGCCGTTAGTGGGCGATTAAGGCGCGGGACTCCTCCGACCGCCGGGCTCGCCGCCGGGCTGGCGTCCCTCCTCGGGTCACGTGGTGGTGAGGGGCCGCGGGCTGCCGCGGGCCCGCAGGCCGGCGGGGCGCCAACCTGGGCAGGGCGGGGGAGGGGGGATAGTTTAGGGACCCCGTCCGCGCGGGGGCGGGGTGCAGCGGGGGGAGCGGGTGCCGTGCACGCGGCGTGCCCCCCGGGCCGGGCCCAGCTCAGTACACATCGCGGGGCGTCAGCGCTGCCAGCCCGGCCCGACCCGGCCTGTCGCACTGGTCCGTGTCAGTCGGGAAAGAGTCGGGACGGGGCCGCAACACTGATGCGCCTGTCGGCGCTGGCGGAGCACCGAGAGGTTAGTGGTCGCGCCGAGGGTCTCCTAGGCCGTGGTGCTTGTCCTGATTGGGTCGCCGGGGGCCCTAGGCTGGCGACTCGGTGGCTATTCTTCCGCAGGCGCGGGGGCGTGTGTGAGGGCGGGGGATCACGGGCCGCGTGCCTGGCGGGTGGCGGTGGCGGTGGCGGGATCCGACGGCAAGGCCATCGCGATGGCTTACAGTTCCCCCGGCCCGCGGGCGGGGGCGGCCTGGCGTATATTCGTGCCTGGCCGCCCCGAGGCGGCCCCCACGTTGTGCGTGTCCCCTGGCGTGGCCTTTGGCCGGCAGTCCGGCCGTGAAGGGCCGCCGAGCCGGTGCCACGCCGTCGCCGTCGACATGGTCAGTCCGCGCGCCGCAGCCGCTGGGCCCGAGTCCACCCGACGAATTGCCGCCGACGCCGCGCCGCCCGCATGGACGGCTGGCCCTGTGTGCTGAGCGAGTGGGTCGTGACCAGGTCTCTGTACGGCGGCCAGGCCATGAAGATACTGCACGTGACCACGGTGCGGCGGCCCGGCCCCGGCGCCGCCCCCAGCCGCTCGCTCACCCCGGGCCCCGGCGGCGGCGACCCGACCAGCCCGGACGCCAGCCCGGGCGCTGCGGCCACCTGCCTCCGAGAAGTGCGTTCCGCTTCCCCGCAGCAGGGCCCACAGGTACGGACCCCGCCGCCGGGTTAGCACCCTGTCGATAATGAAGTCCCCCTCCACCTGGTGCGCGCCCACGCCCGCGGGAGGCGTTCAGTCACGTCGGCGCGGTCCGTCGCGGGTGGCGGCCTCCCTCCTCCCCGCTGCGCTCGCCTTATCATCATCCTGGCCCGGCCGGCCCGGGCGCGCTGCTATTCCCCAGTGTGTGCGACCTCCCGCCCGCCGCCGCCGGCCCGGCGAGATGCAGCCGTCCCGGAGGATCCCGTTGTTCACGAGGGCGAGTGGCTTCCGCGGCCAGGCAAGTTAGTCGCGAGGACGGTGCTCATTGGGCGGCGCCCAGGTGCGTTCTGCGGCCCCCGCGCGATTCGTCGTGATGAACGGCATGATGGAGCTGTTGGCCGCCGCCCTCCGCACCTCGTCGCGCGATCAAGTCGTCGTCTCCGTTTGTGCAGTGTAGCAGGTGGCGCTGGCGTTTTCGGGCGTTCCGCGAGTAACCACGACGCCGCGGCGGTGGCGGCTTCTTGTGATGTTCCAAGGTGGCGGGGGCGGGGCGGGGCGCGCACGCGCGCAGTTAGAGCCCGCCGGTGGTCGTGGATGTTGTTACTTAGAGCCGGTCTTGTGTGAGTCCGCGGCCGCGCGCCCGCCCGGCCGAGGTGTCAAAATAAACGAGGCGGGCCGTTCCGTTTGGGTTCTGCTCGCGCGCGGGCAACGGCACCGACGAGGAAATCACACCAGCCGGCCTGCTGGCGGTCTGGCCGTCGCTTGCAGAAAGCCGACCTATATGTATGTGTGGAGCGACGTCACGGGACGTGGTTCCGTCCTCACCACCACTCGATCCTGCAGATCAGGACCTGTAGATAATAATGTTGCTCTACGGACCCTTTCGAAAACCATGACAGGAACACGGAACGAGATTACGTGTTCGGACAATGGCAGAAACTTTCGTTTAGAGTGAGAGCGGCCTTCGTCATTATTGTCGTTTTGTTTCGTCTAATTCTGCTGCGGATACTGTTCGTGCGTGTTTGGAACTGGGCCAATTCTGAGTTTATCGTTCAATCTCACCCCTCGGGGAGGGGAGGGGATTCTAGAGGAGGGGGCTGTTCGACTTAGTGTCCATCATCATCCACCCGTTGCGATTGTTCTGTCGCTAACGACAGGAGCCTCCGATGCCGTCGCCAAAGAAACGTTCGGTGGAAAAGGAACTCTAAGCGTCGCGACGCGCGGCCCTTTTGAACACTGGCGGCGTGCCGGCGTGGAGACACGCCAAGCGAGATTTATTTTGGTGTAGTGGACGCAAAGCGCGCAAAGCGGCATACGACCTTGGAGCTCCGCCACGCCGTGTCGCGCCTGGCAGAGCCGGGCCACGCCGCCACGCCGCGCCGCGCCACGCCGCGCCTCAACGTGTCCGAACAGGTTGTCTGTCGGGCCGACCCGGTATGCGTGCGGCAGCGGCGGTGGCGGTGGTGGAGGCTGCGGAGGAGGCGGAGGTAGCCCGGGCGCCGGCGCGGGTAGGCAACCTCCTCAGCTAGTGGACACGCGTGTCGGGCACGTTGCCTATCTCCGCTCCGACAGGGGCTCCGAGTCCACTCCAGCAGCGGGGGCGGTGGCTCGCTCGGGCGCCCGCACCCCGCACGGATAGGCAACCTCCTCAGCTAGTGGACACGCGCGTATAGCACGTTGCCTACCTCCGCTCCGACAGGGGCTCCGGGTCCACTGCAGTGGCGGCGGCGGCGGTGCTCGGCCTGCTGCTCCGGTGTTATCCATGCCCGCGACTCTCCGATGAATGAATGGGCAACCCCACCTCGGCGCGTTCCTTATAAGGCTGTGCCATCCGGTAGGGCAGACTGCCGGGCACTCTGTTCACCACATGATGTAATCAGTAGGGCAGTCCGCCGGGCGCACTGTGCACCGCGTGTAATCAGTTGGGGGCAGTCTGCCTTTCAGTTTATCTCCCGATGATCCCCTGTGACGGATGTGCGCTGGCGGTGCCACGGGCCCCGGTGCGGCAGGTGGGGCAGTCTGCCTTCCTGCAAGCGGTCCCTGGTATTTCACCAGCAGGTCTCGGGAGGGCCCCCCAGTCGCCTTTCGCATTTGGTCCGAGTCGCATCGCATCGCGCTCGGCTGCGGCGCTGCCCGAACCCAGCCCCTCCCCGGCCCGACCCGGGCTGCCCGATAAACCGAGCCGGAATCAGCAGCGCGAGGCGAGCGCCTGGCAACCGCGAGGGACCGGCGCCTCTCCCGCCGGCTCAGTCAGTGCATGGCGGTCGTCACGAACGCACCGCTCGATCCTGAGCCCTCCCCTTCCTCGTCGCCAACCGGGTCCGCAGCGTCGACCCCGAGCCCTCCGCCGCGCTCCTCGAAGCGAGTCGCCACCGCAGCCGCGCCGTCGGAGAAGACGGAGACCTCTGCTGTGTTGTGCGCAGACCCGGAGCACAGCACCGAAGCCTGCTCGAAGCCGTCCGCCCTTAAAGCGAGGCCAACCCTCGCGAGCAGCACGCGTCGTGTGATCTCGCAAGCATGTATCAAAGCCAAGAAGTCGTTGTCCTCCCGCCTGGTCGCGTGTCGCCGACCGACCGACGCAACCCCATGGGCAGCTCTCCGCCCCCGCGCCGAGCGCGTCAAGGCAGCCCTCCCTCCGAACACTCTGTCGAGCTCTCTTGAGACCTGGAGCACGACCTCTAGGGCGGCGCACAGCAGCGTGTCGCACAGCGTGTCTCACAGTGTCGAGTGCCTAGTGCAGTGCAACGGCCATGATGGCGGCCTGTCCATCTCCACCTCGACGAGCGTCTCGACGTCCTGGACTGATGACGTGGGTCGACGGCGTGTGTTTCAGGAGCAGCGTTCGATGAAGGCGTCCGACTTGTGCCAACAGGAGAGCCAGAATGTGGCCGCATCCTGCGTCAAAATGCACACGGAGAACTTCAGCTCGGAGAAGGTGAGTGTCGGTGCGGGCGAATCGCGCCTCCTTCGCGTGTCCTCGAACAAATTCTTTTTCAAACACTCCTTGTAATTGTGTCGCGCTGAGCATACGTTGGGTTGATGCGCATAAACTGTGGCAATGTCGTAATAGCTTAAAACGTGCCCTATCTCGGCCCAACGTCTTGCCCCCGATAAGCGGAGATAAACGCGCACGGTATGCCCCGTTCTGTCAGGTGCACCGTACACTGTACATGGTCGCGGTGGCGCCCGTGTGAGAGAGAGGGGGGGGAAGACGGGATAGAAAGAGAGAGAGAGAGCCCGCGCGCAGATGTACAGTACTCTGGACTCGTCCAGAGGCGTTGAACTCGCCCGCGCTTTGCAATATATGGCGCAATTGGTCCGGTGTTGTGTTGTGCCTGTGCGGTGCGTGGTGCCGCGTGGAGTCGCGCCCGGCGTTTGTCAGTCTCACCTCGTCATTCATATTTCTCCCTTCCGGTTTCCAGAAAGCGGTTTCCGCTCAGCAACAGAGGCAGACGGTCGTCACCTCGGGGATGTACAACCAGGAGAACCATGTGTCGTCTTCGCACTCTTCCCACTCCAACTTCACCATCAGCGGCATGTCCATGGCCATGCAGCAACAGGTGAGCTTGGAGACGGTCGTGACTTGCTCGAGCACGATCACGTCGACAGGGGTGCTCACATCCGTGTCGGTGGTGTTGCAGCGCAAGCAGCACCTCAGCATCCAGGAGGAGGAGCAGGTGTTCACGGACCTCGCCGACCTGGAGAGCCTGTCACCCACATCCTCGCAGCAGGAGGTGGAAAACGCCATCCTCAAGTACACAACGCAGCTGGAGCACGTCATCAAGATGCTGCGCACGAGGAACGACAAGCGTCAGGAGCCCAAGGTAGGTTGTCTGTCTGTTCACCCAAACAAGCGACAGGTTATTGTCCAAGCAGCAGCCTCAAAACAAAAATTAATTTCTGTTCTTTCTCTGCAGATGCTGAACCGCATCAACGACATGATCCGCAAGGCGTGGGCCGTGCCCACCCTGGGCCACGAGCTGGGCCACACGCTGTGCACCACGCTGCGCAAGTGCGGCGGCCTCGAGCTGCTCATCGCCAACTGCGTCGCGTCCGACCGCGACGTGCAGTACTCGTCGGCCCGCCTGCTGGAGCAGTGTCTGACCACGGAGAACCGCGCGCACGTCGTCGAGAACGGCCTGGAGAAGGTTGTGAACGTGGCCTGCGCCTGCACGAAAAACTCCAACTCGGTTGACCACTCGCGCGTCGGCACCGGCATCCTGGAGCACCTGTTCAAGCACAGCGAAGGGACGTGCTCGGACGTGATCCGCCTGGGCGGTCTGGACGCCGTACTGTTCGAGTGTCGGAAGAACGACATTGAGACCCTCCGCCACTGCGCGGGTGCGCTCGCTAACCTGTCGCTGTACGGTGGCGCCGAGAACCAGGAGGCTATGATCAAGCGGAAGGTGCCGATGTGGTTGTTCCCGTTAGCGTTCCACAACGACGACAACATCAAGTACTACGCGTGCCTGGCCATCGCCGTCCTCGTCGCCAACACGGAGATTGAGGCGGCCGTGTTGCAGTCCGGCACCCTGGACCTGGTCGAGCCGTTCGTGACCTCGCACAACCCGTCCGACTTCGCGCGCTCGAACCTAGCCCACGCGCACGGGCAGAGCATGCACTGGCTGCGCCGCCTCGTGCCCGTGCTCAGCTCTAAGCGCGAGGAGGCCAGGAATCTGGCCGCCTTCCACTTCTGCATGGAGGCGGGAATCAAGAAGCAGCAGCAAAACACAGACATTTTCCGCGACATTGGTGCCATCGAGCCACTCAAGAAGTGCGCCTCGTGCCCCAACGCCGTGGCGTCCAAGTACGCCGCCCAGGCCCTGCGCCTCATCGGCGAGGAGGTGCCACACAAGCTGAGCCAGCAGGTGCCTCTCTGGTCCACAGAGGACGTCCGCGAGTGGGTCAAGCAGATCGGCTTTGCCGAGTACGCCAACAGTTTCGCAGACAGCCGCGTCGACGGCGACCTATTGCTGCAGCTCACCGAAGAAAACCTTCGCACCGACATTGGCATCTCGAACGGAATCAGAAGAAGAGGGTAAGTGTCTTCTTGGAATTTAATGATTCACACCCCACACCGAAATTGTTTCGTGTGTTAATTTTCATGAATGCAAAGACGCTGACTCAAAACCATTTCTTGATTTGCAGATTTACCAGAGAGCTCCAAATCCTCAAGAAGATGGCTGACTATTCGAGTAAGGACGTGAGCAACCTCAACTCATTCCTTCAAGTGATGGGTCCTGAGTTCTCCACCTACACGTACGCCATGTTGAACGCTGGCGTGGACAAGGACTCAATCCGTTGTCTGTCTGACGATCAGCTCATCAACGAGTGCGGTATTGCTAACTCCATCCACCGACTGAGGATATTAGAGTCCATCCGAAGTAAGGCTCACTTCTAAATATGCTGTATACGTTACATAATAGCGATTTCTGGCCTGGCAGAGTCATAATTATAATCCTTTTTCCGCAGTGATGGAGAACTGTCCCGACAATTCGTTCCAAGACAACCTAGATAAGCCATTAGACGTATTTGTTAGTTATAGGAGATCAAATGGTTCACAACTAGCCAGGTGTGTACTGTGTTTTTGAACAAACAATATGTTTATGTCAGTCTAAATCAGAATCAACTAATCAAACTCCCTCTTTTTGCAGTTTACTCAAAGTTCACCTTCAACTCCGCGGCTTCCGCGTTTTTATCGACGTAGAGAGATTAGAGGCGGGTAAATTCGACAACAATCTCCTCCAGAGTATTCGGCAAGCCAGACACTTCCTTCTCGTCCTCACGCCCAAGGCCCTGGACAGGTGTCGGGACGACCCCGAGTGCAAGGACTGGGTGCATAAGGTTCGTAGTGCATACTTGTGAGGCCATAGTGGTATGGTAAGAAGCTGCGCCTGAATCTAACGACCTGACATCTTTTCTTTCCATAGGAAATAGTGGCCGCCCTTCAGTCGCAGTGCAACATCATCCCCATCATTGACAACTTCACATGGCCTGATCCTGAGACGCTCCCAGAGGACATGCGAGCGGTCTGCCACTTCAACGGTGTCCGGTACGTGCAGCGCAACCAATATGCGCTCTCCCTGCTCCCTCGAAGGCAATGAGAAACATAGACGTCGTGCTGACGCCAAAAGTCGAAATGACGTCAATTTTTGGACCATAAGCATCTAAATGGACGTATATTTGACGTCTACATCGAATGCTTCTCGCTGCGACCTTACCTTACCTTATCCCACTAGTCTCTAGAGAACCAGGTCTCACAGCCTCGCTAATGCTTCACTTTTCGGCCTCGCAGGTGGATCCACGACTACCAGGACGCGTGCGTCGACAAGCTGGAGCGGTTCATGCGCGGCGAGCTGCAGATGGGGAACATGGGCCCGCTGTCCTCGTCCTCGCGCAGCATGCTGAGCGGGGGCAAAGGGGACGCGACGCCCAGCCTCCCCGGCACGCTGCCCGGCACGCCGAGCAGTGCGTCCATCGGGCGCCACCCTCCCGCCTACCAGCGCATGCACTCCAACGAGTCCGCCAAGGGCTCGGGGTCGGACAAGGACAAGGAATGACTAGACGGCCTCTCCTCTGCTGCCAAACAACCCAGGTAAGAAGGTGCATCAGGCGGACCTCAGC